TACTCGTATCTTCAACATTAATTGCATAGTGAGAAAGTAATACTTTGTCTTTTCTATATTCTTGGACTTGATAAATGGTGGATCTCCTAATTTACTGGAAATTTAAATATTTGACTTTCCAAAAGTAAAATAGGTATTGCTAATCCCATCAAGGTAGTTAAGACTTAAGAGCAGTAGTCAGCACTCAAAATGCATTTCATTGCTTGAATATGGCGACTTAAAGCTATTCCAAATTAAAGTATTCTTTAATGAGTGAATTTAACAAACGCAGCAGTGAATGCAGTATGTATATCTATAAAAGTCCCCATGGAATTGACGTTTTCTGGTGATAATTAATCGGATACTGCTGCTGACCATCATTTTTTAAGCAGCAGCCGCTAGTTTGTCAAAAGAGAAACTCCGCTATCGCGTATCTCCTCATTGACCATCCTTCTAAAATATATGATCTGGATTTTCTTTCCAGAATATGATGTAGAAGCCATTGTTGATTTTTGAGCTCATTACACAAGATGTAATGTGGCTATAGTGTAAATACCACCAGCATATGCTTATTACCGGGAATATATAAAATTTCACTTTACTGATTAAAAAAGATTTTCTTTCCAGAATATCATGTTGCTCTTTCTTGCTTGTAAGGGACTGATGAATTTGTCTCTTCTAATTTTTCATGAAACCAGAGGGCACTTGCTTCATACATAAAAAGATATGCTTGCTCAAATGCGAAGACAGAGGATTTATGGTCTGTCCTTCAGGAGGAGTCTGGTGAACCTGTGAACAAGTTGATGAACTCCTGGACAAAGCAACAAGGTTACCCAGTCGTCTCTGTCAAAATAAAAGACCAAAAGCTGGAATGCGACCAGGTTATCTTGTTTCTAAATCAAATGCATATTTCCATACCCAAGTCTAGTCTTCTCCATACTAACTTGTGTTTCCATGCACCAGACGCAATTTTTACTGAGTGGTTCTCATGGTGATGGGCAATGGATAGTTCCGTTAACACTCTGTTGTGGCTCTTATGAAGTTCGTAAAAGCTTCTTAATGCAAGAAAAGTCAGAAGCCCTTGATGTTAAGGACTTATTAGGCTCATCTTCTTCTAAAGGCAATCCCTGGATAAAAGTTAACGTGGACCAAACAGGTTTTTATAGAGTTAAATATGATGATGAACTATCAGCTAGACTCAGATATGCCATAGAGTGCAAGTGCTTATCAACAAATGATAAATATGGTAATAATTACTGCATTTTTGTCAACTTTAATATTTAATAGTTAAAATCGACTATTGATGGGATTATGTTATCCTGAACAGGCATTTTGGATGATTCATATGCCTTATCGATGGCTTGTCATCAGTCTTTGTCGTCTTTGCTTGCCCTGATGGCTTCTTTCAGGGAGGAGCTCGACTATACTGTTCTATCAAACCTGATAAGCGTAATTTCTCTACGTTTTAGACCTCTTTTAGGTATTAGTTCGGTCAGTCCAAAATTAACTGTTTCCCCTTCTTCATGCAGATAAGTTACAAAGTTTCAAGAATCGCAGCTGATGCTGTTCCTGACTTGAAGGATCACATAAAGTTGTTTTTCATCAATCTTTTCCAGTTTTCTGCAGAGTATGTTACTTACTTTTTCGAAGCTACAAAGCATGTTACCTTATCTTTGTATTTTTGGTCATCGTTCACGATGCAGTTCAAGGGGGAAAGAAATCCTGAAACAGTGTAAAATAAGAGAGAATGGCGCATAGTTGGAGTGATTCTACTTTTAATGTTATAAACATAGGTGGGTGAACGTCTAACAACTAAAGCTATTGGATATAGCAGAGAGCAACATAAATCGGGACAGAATTATCCCTGTTCTGGCTTTCTTGACATTCAGGGGTCAACTCTGATAAGAAAATGAATTTCTATTCTCCGAGACTAGTTCCTGATAAAAAAGATTTAGAACTTGCATCTTGTTGTCTTTTGTCTAGTAGCTCTAATCCTAAGTTAGGAGGACTTGGGAGTTGTTTATAAGCACTGCAATCATTTTAGAGATATAGTTTTCTTCTAACTAGATATCTTCTGTTTACCTATCTAGAAACAAGAAATCTGCTGCCAATAATGCCTTTCGAAAAGAATGAATGGGTAAACTGGAGTGTTACAAATTGGTCACATTTACCCTTTATTCATCTCCACAAACCTGGAATTAGACATCACAAATAGAAAACTTTAGAGTAAAGGAAAACTTGTTTATGGAGTTGGAAGAGGGAATTTAGTCTAAGGCTTCCAGTTGAAATTAGATATTTGACCATTAATCTCATGTTCCAGTGTGGCACAAAAGGTTTGCTTCTAATTGGACTTTCCTTTATCGACAGGAGACTTGGTTGGGATCCTAAACAAGGGGAAAGCCACCTTGACGCCATGTTGAGAGGGGAGCTTCTGAGTGCTCTGGCTGCCTTTGGACATGACGAAACAATAAATGAAGCAATCAGGCGCTTCCACATATTTTTGGATGACAGAAACACAGCTGTTCTTCCTCCTGACTTGAGAAGGGTAACTACACTTGAATATATTGTAACTCAAATTCATTTCTTCTGTACCTATGCAGATCCTAATCCCTCCTTCCATCTGCAGGCTGTTTATGTAGCTGTGATGAAGCGGGTGAATAAATCAGATAGATCAGGGTTTGAAGCTCTTTTAAGAGTTTACCGAGAGACTGACCTCAGCCAGGAAAAGACACGGGTTTTAAGTAATCTATCAACTCATGCCAATTATGAAATTAAATATTTTGATTATGAAACGGTATGTCCAACCAATAAGTGCATTCTCTTGTTCTATAGGTTCATTGGCATCTTGCAGGGACCCCGAAATTATCCTTGAAATTCTCAACTTCTTGTTATGCTCCGAGGTATTCTTGATTTTTACATGGCACTGGATTATCTCTCTCTATCTCTTTGTGCACAGAGAGTGTATTTTGTTTCAACAAAATGTTAGAAGAGTAATCTGTGCTTGGAAATTTTAGGTTCGGAGTCAAGATTGTGTTCACGGGCTTGCAGTTAGTTTAGAAGGCCGCGAAACTGCTTGGAAATGGTTGCAAGTGAGTACTCCCTTTCCTAGAAATATTGCATTCCTCGAGTTATTCTTTTTATTACTAATTCCTAATAAGATACCTTTGAGAAAATGTTCATTGTAAATTGTATTAAATTGTTACTTGTAAAAATGTAGGCTGTAAGACTGAGGAATTCACATTAGTCCAAAGTGCAATTATTTCAGGAGGAGGAAGTGCAACATGTTCTTATAAAATTACTAGTACCAAATGCTGCATTTCGTGACTGATAGATTGCTCCAAAAAATGCAATGAGACATCCATTCTCGATTTTTATTTTGTTTTTCTAATAAATTGTTTGAATACAGGACAATTGGGATCATATCCACAAGACTTACGGCTCTGGATTCCTCTTAACCCGCTTCATCAGTGCAACAGTGTCACCGGTTTGTTTCTGTTCCCTTGCCATCTTTCTCTAGCATTTGCATGCAGTTGATACTGTTTTATCGTAGGACAACCTACTTCAAAAGCTGCATCTATTGCTTATTTGCTTCTACCTTGTTGTGTAATCACAAGAAGCATGGAAAACAAATTTTATAAATTACTCATTACATATTGTCTTTGATTTTTTGGCTCAATCTTTCTTTTCTTCAGTTCTCATCCTATGAGAAGGCGAAAGAAGTTGAAGAGTTTTTTGCTAGCCGTACCAAGCCTTACATTGCAAGAACGTTGAAGCAGAGCATCGAGAGGGTTCACATTAATGCAAACTGGGTTCAAAGCATTCAAAAGGAGAAGAATCTTTCCGAGGCAGTGATGGAGCTAGCGTATAGGAAATACTGAAGTAGCTGTTGTTGAACTTAGTGCCCCCTTTAGAGAGTTTCTAGTTTCCATCAATAAGTTAATCATGGTACTTTTTTAAATGGTTATGTCTCTGAAAAAACGATAAAAGCTCTGATGATCCTTTGTTGAGCAAACTATAGGCAATAGGTTACATATTTAATGAATCAGTATGGTTGATTTTGATCTGCTTTTGTTGTGCTCAGATGAACCAGGTCTAATGTATGAGCAACATCTTTTAATTAAATAGACGTTAGCATTTCCGTTTGGAACACAAGATTTACTACCTCATACTTGATAATCAGCCTAGGCATGCAAAATATTTCATGGATTTGGATAGACTCCAAGCATTATTGTGCATTTGTTAGCATATTTGCGCAGTTCCAGTTTACAAGTCACTTGGCATTGATTGTCCTTCTAAGATCTTTGTGGTGGCTTGAGATTTTCATATACCACGTAATTTGCACGGCGAAGTACACAAATAGCCATTTTTAGGACTGCTATTTAGGGATTAGCCCGTACTGAAAATAAAAACTGAAATTTAGGACACACCGGGTAACTTCTAAGTGACAGCCTTGTAAAATGGCTATCTGGTGTCGTTTCCACAAAAATTTTGCACCAGACACAAATGTTCCCTGAATAGTTAGGCAAAGAGGCAATTGTGAAAATCCATTTAGGCCACTTCAAATCATGGGACATTAGAAACTGTTTGCCTAATGTCCTACCATTATGAATGAAAGCTCCTCAACAACCACCACTCACTTCATCAGGAACATGAATGAACAGAAAAAGTTGATCCTTAGCTTGTTATTGAACAATCATTGACCCACAACCAGAGGCAGATGGTCCGTATATTTTTAACTGAACCTATCTTTTTTGCACGGAGCATAGATATACGTGAAAAATTGCGTCAAAAAATACAAATTTTGAACCCATAATGTCAAATGCTGAGTTCAGTATAAGAACCTTAAGTTTGAATCCATCAAAAAAAAAATACCAGATTCGATGAGTGAATGATGAACTGGTATAGTAAGTTACTGTCATGTAGCTCCTTTCGTTATCTGTTTATCATACACGGCATTGAATATCAGTGTTCTTTAATTGAGTCAACTTATTCTGTCTATACTCTGAAAACCACATACAAAGTATAAAAAGATGCATCTTTTCAATAAAATTCAGAAGAGATCTCTCTACTTGCTCATTACTGTTTCCAAGTAATACCGAGGCAAATAACCTCACAGAGCCTTTAACTCGGAGGAATAATGTATGCTCCTACTTCAAACAGCTAAAGGAAGAAACACTACATACAGAGAATGGAGCAAGTACTACAATACATACAGGAAGCTACTCTAATGAAAACCTTAAGTCCCAGATTCCCCTGGTAAAAATTAAAAGGGCTGGATATATTCAATCATATGAAGTCAATACTGTGAACCTATAATTGGCAACAGCTGATTGAGAGATCAGTTATGTTAGGTTTTGCTCTTAAACTTTCTTTGGGCTTTCAAGTCCACAACAATCACCGTTATGTTGTCCTTGCTGCCCTTTTGAGTAGCTCGATTTGACAAGCATTCTGCTGCTGCCTGTGCTGCTGGATCAATTCCTTGGCCCCTTTCCACGGGAAGCGTTACACCATTCTTTTTATGCCACAGGAGTATGCGCTTACGAGCCAATTCACATGCCTCTTCATTTGACATAACATCCCATAAACCATCACTTGCAAGAATAAGGCATTCGTCGTCCTTGGTTCGAGGTATGAACATTACTTCTGGATCAGGAATTATCCAGGGCTTCAAGTACCTATCTCCTGCAACCAAAAAGCGATTAAAATAAAATGTAAAGGAAATAGAAGAAAGACTTGCTTGCTAACAAAATTAGGAGAGTGATTAGCATTTAGAGTCCTTGATAATACGATGTTATCACTATAGGGTAATTCTCATGTCAAATAGAAAAAGAAGAAAAGAAAAAGCAGAGTGGTAGAATGAATACGCAATATACTATTCTCGCAAGCTCAGGGAGTAATCCTTTCACAGCTTTGCATTTAAAGCACACATTACAAAAGCTTAAGATACAAAATAGCTTACATCAAATCGGAGATGTTAAGTCACCAGCGTGTCACATTCCTACACAGCTTGATGACAGAAGTTGGGGCATATTGGCTATAAGTTTAATCATGGATATCATAGATTAGTTAAGCCTCCGGAAATAATGAACTCACGTACAGCAACTTAAACTACTCTATGTCACTTTGGCTATATTTTTCAGTTGACATTAGAAACTTGAGTATATGATCGACACCACTATTTTTAAAAGCGAAGAGTGCAAAAAAGCGACAATCTCCATGGGTCTTGAAGAGAAAAGCATGAAGTAAAGCGCACAATCACAACATTAAAAGAAATAGCAAACATATATGAATTTGGTATTATAATAATCAAAACGCAATTAAAATATTTAAATATTTAATTTCAGTATCATATATATATTAATGCTGATATTAGTCCAATTTCTCAAAGTTGAGATTCAGATAACCAAGTGCTTCTTGTTGGGATCACCTTCGCATCAGTGTTTGAAGTGCATAGCTTCAATCACGAAGTAATAGCGGTGGCTTTTAATTAACACTGTTCGACACAAATTTCCATCTTATAGGCACTGTAATATCCTCTTCAATTTACAAACCTGCATGTTCAGCCTTCGCCAACAAGTGTTTGCACACATCTAGAAGCAAAGCCAGGCTTCAGCACAGATTTACAATTTGTTGGTCCTTTATGTAATGCTGGACCGAAGATAGAATGAGAAAAATAACATTCTAACATTTAAGGTTACACATCAGATGGCAAAGGCACACTTAGTCACAGGTATAAAAAGAATTGCACGAAAGACGAAATGAGCTCTCTTCTCATCACAATCACCATAATCAAGGAGCAACTCCCTGGGGACCAGGATACAGAAGGTTCCCATGCTTCTTTTGGTTCTGTTTTATTTACAATTATTTCCAAGTCTAAGTTCATAGCTCAAGAATTGCACTAACCAGGGTCAGACAAGTGATGATCAGAAAACGAAGAAGGCTTGCAGGAACATAACAAAATCAACCGAAATGTTTGTGGCCACAAGACCAAAGACATGACTGATGGAAGGGCACAAATTCTTACTTTTTTTTCACGGAGACAATATAAAAGGAGAGCTTGGTTTAAAATTTAAATGACTCTTAAAAACAGGATTTATTTCTCATCATATGCTAAATCGCCTACCTCCTATATTATATGACACTTCTTCTGTTCGTTTACATTGAATAATTGTTGATTAATGTGAAAATAGAGGAGAAAAGAGAGGAAACTTCTAAATGATTTTGGTGATAATATACAAGAGTCGCTCCTGAGTTCTTCCATCTACAACATGGTAAGTATATTTCTTACACCTAAATAGGTAAGGAGTTAACATACAATTAAATGCAAAATATTTCACGATATTCTAGAAAATATTACGAGACACTCCAAAAATCAATTACTACTACTCAGTGAATGTAGATATAATGTGAATCCAGTAGACACATCCTAAAATAAATCTCATTAATCCATTTGATATTCAATATGCCCCTCATACTGAAGACAATAGACGACGTGACCTGACGAGATACTAACTAAGCAATGACGTATTGTTGGAAAACGACATCGTATTGATTGGAAAGATATGATGGACGACAACATGTGCTGAAAGGAAAATGTCGCTGGAAAAGAGACGTGGCGCTGACGGAAAATGTTGCTGGATGGCAACGTAGCACAGATCGAAGAGTGATATATCGTTGAGCAATTATGCTATGTTTCTCGGATACGGGTGCGGGTATCCGATACGTCTGTCGATCTAGAGGTCGGATTCGTCATCACAAGAATTTTGGGACTTGGAAGTATGGATCTTAGTGCAAATAAGGGTGCCTGGATACAGCTAATAAATATAGAGGAATACTATATGCGTATATATGACAATTAGTTATATGAAATGTTTATTGCACAATTATAAATTGCTATACATACAATATTTTTATAAATATGGTAATATAATGTATATAATAATCTGAACATAGAAAAGTAAGTATCTTGTTAGAAATTTGGTTAGAATCTATCATAATATATTTATGCTTGTTAGCTTTGTCAATAACTACAAAGCAAATAGTATTTATGGTAAAAATAACTTGTCTTAAATGACTAGAGAGCGAAGGTATTTGTGGTAAAAATCAAATGCTTTATAAGCACTTAATATTTTATTTATAAGTTATCATGTATAATAACAAAGTCTTCTAGTACGTTATGTGAATATACATATATATATATATATATATATATATATATATACACACACATATATATGACATAAACCAAAAACAAACCAAATACACAACCAACCTATACTTCTAGGCCATAAGTGTAGTCAAAGAACCCAAAATCGGTTGACCAAACCCGGTGCGGATCCCACACCACACCGAAAATCGTGTAATATTGACACAACTGAAGATCTTGAGGGATACGAGCAATATAACAATTATATTGACATTTCAAGAAATGTGATACACACTGCCTAAACAATAGCCCGGAAAGTGACCAGCATAGGCGATACTGCCGGAACAATCATCGAGAAAACGTAAGTCACGAGAAATGAGATAGAGGTACCATTAAAAAGAGCATTGAAAATAGACAATAAATGTAAATTACTACAACAACGAAAATTTTAGTAAGGTAGAAGAGTTAAGGCGACACATAATTTTTTATAGTATCCTAGAATGTATGGAATATTCCGCAATATTCTCCTACTTCTATGAATCTAGACATGTCGTAGATCTTGACACATTCTAAAATGTAACTTCATTACTCCTTTTGGCTTACAATTGCATTCGTCAAAATAATAATCTACAGATTGTTCACAAGTTGGCACCATAATAAACAATTCAAATTCAAACTATGGCCCGACGTATTGCCTACCAAACCAACTTATTCACAGATCATCTATCCATGTAAGCAAATGAAAGACAGAATGAGAAAGCATAAGTAAAACAGGAAGGAGAATGGCAAACTCTATTCTCTTATCGGAGGGAAAGGAGAAAAGCACTACATCAATCAGTTCTCTAAGGAAGAATATTAGCGTGTGTGCACTTATCTTAACAGCCGAGACACTACCTTGTCTTGATGCATCTTGAACAAGGCAATTTGCCAGTTCCAGAAAACTCTTCAAAAACGCCATCACGATCAAGAAAAGAGAAGGGTCGTGCACCGAGTACCTAAGCACACTATGGGCTTCTCGAAGTACAATTGAGTTTGCTAAAGCACCAAAGTTTAAGATAAGTATCCAAAATTTTACTAGTAAGTTGTAACAAGCCTGCGCACCGTAGAACTAGTATAAGCTTGCGGCTACAATACGTTATGAAGCCATTGCTCTACTTTTCTCCGAAGCCATTGCTCTATTTTTTTGAAGCCATTGCTCTACTTCTATATGAGACTTGACTTCCTTATCTACTATAGGAATATGGGAAACAGTAATTGGTACAATCGTATTTTCTTTAGCACTTAAAATCCTCCCCAGGATCGTTTCCAAATCCCAACTAGACAAGACTTTTGTGGTAGCTTGTGCTGACATATATGCAACTTCATTACTAATGTTGATCTAAATATATACAGCACAGGGTTTCCAGTTCCATGCTTCAGTTAGTGCACACTGTGATACCATTCCTAACCGCCTGGGCCATAAGAGCCTACGGCCCTGCCACTATAGAATGGATTATTAAACCATATCCGGGTCTATATCAGATGGTCTAAAAGACTAGCATTGATGATCAAGCCCAATTCTCTATTTTGTTACTAGAATCATCTTCTTTGTTTACTCTAGGAGTGCGGATAACCAATAACTGCTGTGTCAAACTATTACTATGACGTGCATTGCTGATATTAGTTGTACTATGGAGGATGCTGAAAGAGCCAAAACTCTTTAAGTCATGAGCAATATCGTGATTTAGTTTAGGTATGCTCAGGTTCGGCACATAATGAAAATGGATATATTCTAAGAGCAGTAGCTGACTTGTAAAGCAAAATATTCTACAACCTGTAATGATCCCTAGTAGCTGAGTGTTTGATACCAATAATGTTGAGTACACACGGATACTTTAGTCATTATTTGCAAATGCTAGATAACAGGGTAGGTAGGAGAAACATACCAATAGACCTAGACATTGCAAGAACGCCAAAAACACGATGCCCATTCCACTGTATAACCTTCCCTCCAGCTGCTTCAATCCTTCCATATTCATCTTCTCGGTTCGGCTTATAAAGAGAACATAAAAAGAAAATTAGCACCGAAGGATTAATCAGTGACATCACACATAATTAAAGTCAGACCAGAACCACTGTTTCACTTACTTTGTGATCCACCGACAATGCCATGGGTTCCTTCCCACGGCACAGAACAGCCCTTGAATCACCACAGTTTGCTACTATTATGTGTGACGAACAAACAATGGCAACAACAGCCGTGGAGCCTACAGTTTCTGCGGCAACAGCCTCATGATTTCCCGTCCCTCCAACCTCATCATCAACCTTGAGAAAACAGTTGGTAAATGCCTTTTTCCATTGGTCCTGGCAATTTTGCCTAATACTTTCATCATTGAGATTCGCCATAAATTTTTCCAACTCCTCAGCCAATACAGCATGAACTCGATCTCGGCAGTAATTCGCCACCTGGAAAATAAAAATCCCAAGTTTGTATCAAATATATATGCAAATCCTATGAGCTAGTATAACAGTGTAAGTAAAAAGAGAGAGAGAAACCTGAGAGCCACCGTGGCCATCATAAACTCCAAAGAAATGGGCGGTCAAATGACTTAAGCATCTACTCACTCCATCAGGAACACGGTCGACTACCATCTGTAGAGGAATTCTCAAGAACCTAGGAACAGTTGCTAGTGCATCTTCCATTTCTGGCCTCCTTCCACACACAGATGTAAAACCCCATAGGGGTATATAATCCACTTCAAAAACACTGCGACTAACTGCTGCACTTAACCCTTTATTTAAGGGTAACTGAACAACAACATGAGATGATTTTGAGCTAGAGCCATCCGTAATCTGCTCCTCAAGTTTGACGGCAAAGGGCTTACTCACGTTATCATCCTCAACACCTGACTCTACCAGATCTCCGGGCTTAGCTATAAGTTCAACACTACAAATGCTTTTCTCAGCATCCACAAAATTCTGACCATATATGTCAGAAGCTACCTCAAAACCTATAAAATCATCACCACATAAACTACTGGAATCACTCACCACAGACAGGGAACAAGACATTTGATCACCGTCCAACGATAAGATCTCATCATCCTCGCTTTCCCTAACAACAGCATGACCAGCAATCCAAGTGCTGCTTTCATTTTCAGATATCATATGGAGCAAAGGAACACCCTCGGTCCTACTTGATGATACAGTATCACTAAGGTCTTTCTCAGCAGATTCTGCATACAAACTTGTAGTAGTGTCACCCATTGAATTTAGCCTAGTGACATCCATATGACTACTACTTCCTATACTTGGGGGGTTGTGAAAGATCAAATTATTACCTAATCTAAATGGCAGAGGAGCAACCGCCAAACACATCTCCTTCATCAAAATCACTATCTTGACAGCAGTTAAAGTGACCCTCTGACATTACACAACCTGTCATTGTCAAACTAACCGATCACCTTTTTTCCTTTGTATCAACAATAATCTCCTCATACCATTTTCCATTGCCTAGAAAGATCTAACAAAAAAGTTCTTTTCTTTGAGCTCTGATTCTTGAAATGGAAATTTTGTTAGTCAGATCTGGTAAGCAAAAAGTAGTAACACCAACTAACCACCCCCTTTTGGTAGAAAATTCACCTAAAAATTACCAAGCTAAGACTTGTCTGCACTTCACTTAATTCTGAAGACAATAACCAATCAAGATCCCAAAATCCACTCAGTTACTCAAAACCCACATAAATCTTGATACAAAAACCAACATTAAAAAAGGGAATAGGGTCATGTGAAATTGTAAAAGAAGCTAAAAGTAGCTAGCGAATCACAAGAAATGTTGAAAAAGATGGTACCCTTTTGTCACATAAAACTTGAGAGTACCTTGGATCTGAGGCAACCCTATAATAAGAAACTTGAAAAATTAAGAGTCTTTTTCAAACAATTATGTAACGAACAAAATATAATAAATGGGGATGGAAATAGTAGTACAAAATGGTAAACTAAAAACCACTACCTAATCCTTCCCTCTCTTTTTTTCTTTTTTTTTTTCTTTTTTTTTCAAGAATATTTTTGTTCACAGTTCACACACCTCAGCTTCACTTTCCTTTTTCATCCCCAGAAGAGTAATACTATAATTTTGCTTTGCCCAATTTACTTGGAAAGAGAAGGGAGAAGAATGAACAAATGAAAAATGTGGTTTGTTTATACAATGAAACAGTTCAATCTGATCATTAAAAAGACTTCCTCTTCTTCTTTATAATTTTTTATTTAAATTAAATGTAATTTTCTATCTTTCAGTTGCGTTTAGAAAACTGTGTTGATGCTACGTGGACGGTGGACTAAAAAATACATTATTTTATACTATATTAGATGAAATAAATAGAAATGTTGTTTTTTTAACACTTGCTACATCCTATTTTAATATGCTAATAAAACTAAATTTTTTTCATGTAGATTTCACCAACAACTCTTAATTTTTTTAAATAAAATAAAATGTATGCATAAATATAAAATACTAAAATTTTTATAGTTGTTTTTTTCTTTTTATACTACAATAGTATGATTATTTTGGGCATATGGAGTATAAATAATAGTAAAACATAATTCCTACAAATTGAGAAAATGAAATAATCAGAAATAAAAAAGGACAGATGTCCAATCCAAAAGAGCATATTAAAGCCCCTCCACCCATCTTTGCTCTTTCACTATTCTTTCTCCAATTCAATGCCCCACCATTTGTATTTATGGCTATTTGGTGAACACAATTATTTTTTATGGAGTAATAATATAACTAGATCTTCTTTTCTTTTTTTTGGTGGTTCCCATTCAATCCATTAAAAGGGAAGAGTTATGTATCAAGATTTTATTCATTCTTAGGACTCGAATTCGAAAATTTTAATTAATAATAAAGGATTTCTAAGAAGGGGAAACTTGGCATAACTGATAAAGTTGATGCCATGGGAAGAAGGTCACTAGTTCGAGCCATAGAAACAGCGTGTTGCAGAAATGCAAGGTAAAACTATGTACAATAGACCCTTGTAGTCCGGTCCTTCCCCCTTCCGATCCTGCGCATAGCGAGAGCTTAATACCCCGGACAACCCTTTTAATGGAGAAATCCTAACCATTCCACCACAACCATTAGTGTTGTAAGATCACATCGTGTATACATCGACCAATTCTATTAGACAATTTGTTACAATCAACAAGTTCATTTAAGTGTTTACTATATCGGAGCATATTAAAACTTACATTCAGTATTATAGCTGGAACCCAAATACAAAACCTCCATATTATTATTCTTATACCTCAATCATTCTTTGTGTGGACCTTTTTTATGGATAACTTAATGGAGAACGTGTCCTCTATACATTCAACAAAACTTCCACTTAGAGAGGCTCTATCCAATGTCCTTTCTTCTCTGGGATATAATTTTGATTATATAATCTCGTCCCCTCATATAGAAGTGGTAATTTGAGCCCAAACTCATTCAACCTGTCCAATCCGTTCAAGATTAGACTGGCTAGTGACTCGCCATTTGTTAAATTCAGTCTATCTCATACTCCTATTATTTAAAGTTTGACTGATATTTAATCCAAATTGATCAATGAGTAAATTTACTAAAATAATTTTAAAATAATTTTTTTATTTGAAATATTATATATGACCATAAAAAGTCTTATTTGTTAATTAAATAGTAATTCATAGAAAATAATACACATTAATTAAAGCTGTGTAAGATTTGGGCGGGTTGGACTATGACCCAAAGTTGTAAAAATAGTACGGTATAGCCAGTTTTCGGACTGGTCAATCAAAAATAGCCAGCGTTTACCAAGTCAATGAAAAATTGCCACTATTTTGCTGCAATAGAGACCGGTCCAGCATAATATACTGGAGTTCGGTGCACTTGTGTATGAACTCCAGCATATTATGCTGGACCGGTATACTTTGCTGGCTCCAGTATAATATACTAGAGACTGGAGTACCGGTGCTCCAAACTCCAGTATATTATACTGGACCAATATACTTGCTGGAACTCCAGTATATTATGTTGGAGTTCTAGTGTACTTATGCTGGAACTCCATCATATTATGCTGGAGTTCCAGAATAGTATTCTGGAACTCCAGTATAATATGATGGAGTTCAAGTATACTTATGCTGGAACTCCAGCATAATATATTGGAGTATTTTTCGGGTTTTGAACAGTGTTTTCGCTCATATTTATCTTTATATAAAAAGTAGCTAAATTTCGATTACTTCTAAAATTGGGCTATTTTTGAACGACCAGTTGTAAATCTGGCTATTTTTAAACCCCCCCCCCCCCCGAGTTACGTCCACTTTGTACACAACCCACGCTTAGCCCAACGTAATTTTGGTACGGCCGATTGACCAGCCCAACTCATTACTTGATATATTTGTACT